AACTGTTATGGAATAATTTTATTATCCTAATCGTTTTCATCTTTACTTTTTCTTCTACTCTGCATACAGAGAATTTTTTCCTTGAAATTATTACGAGATGACAATTATTTTTTATTACTGTTGGAATTGTTATTCCATTATAAGTATTTTATAATAAGTACGGTTATTACTTCATTTTATTAGTTGTTATTTCATTGTACAAATTTATATTTCATTACAAATTTTGATCAAGTTTGAAACAAAAAGTTACGCAGAATTATACGTTGATGGAAAAGGAATAGATGTTCGCAAATATTCGTAAACGCAGGTGAGAAAGATTATTGCGCAGATTATGGAACAGTTTATAAAAGTCAAATGCAAAATCCTTGTCCCGTGACGAGTTTTACTGTCCAACTTCGGGCGAGTTTTCAGCGTCTGACTAGTGGCTGAGGATACTTCACTTCAAACCAGATTAATTCGTTTCCCTTGCTAGCTGCCTCTTTACCAACTTTCATATCATTTCATTATATTAAAATAATAAAAATCTATCGGGCGCACGAATTACCAATCTTTCTTGATTGTTAAGCCATTGTATCGTTTCAATATTTATATTACAAGATATAAATTTTTATTATATATTTTATATTACAATACAATATACACATTTTATTATTATTATTGTATTACCAATTTTATTATATATCACAACATACATATTTCATTCAAACGCGAAACAGCGTCAGAATCGAAGATTCCACGTTCCTCCCAAAGTTGAGTCTCTCCAAAAGAAATTAACAGTCACAGGAGAAAAGTAAAGTTCACATCTCTCGACAAAATTAAAAGTAGTTGAAATTCGTAGAATCAAAAAACGATTACATATACACGTTGTATACAGGGTGTGAACCGAGGCTCTCAACTCGCGCTAAATAAATTATCAATTTCCCCTACGAAACCGCCGAGACACAAATTCCTCGTCTCACGAGGCCCATCCAACTCTTCGTTACCTCCTCTCCGCGTTCCACGAGCTACGATTAACTCCCTTCGCCACGAAGTGAAGCGTTCCACCACGATTCAAGAGGTTTCGCCATTCGAACGAAGATCCACCATCCGGCACAGAAGGAGAGCTCTGTCTCTCTACGAAAGTAGCTACGATTTTTCCACGATGAGGAAATCCTCCCTCCCCGCTGTTCGAACGTTTAAACCTTCTGTGCCTGGCTTCTCATTAAGTCTACGCCCCTTCCAAGTCTATGACGAAGGAAGACGAAGCCTCGCGAGAGTCGAAGGAAATAAATTCTCCTTTTGTAGTGGCTGGTTTCTGCAGACTCATTATGCGAGAAGACGGGTGGAAATGGAGGACGTAGGAAACGGAGATTGCTTAGGTGTTCGCGGCCCTGGCTATCTTATATCCGTCGTTTATTACGGCTCAGGCCTCGCTCCGCGTGTTTCTGCAATCCATTTCTGCAAACGTCGGCGAAGTTTCGTCGGACATCCGGAATTTTTCTGGACTGTACATTGTCAATTTTGTCACACGCGTTTGTGAGAAATATGTAGTGTCACGCGGTGACGTAAAGTCGGCGGTACAATAAAATTCAGGGTTAAAGGGAAAACGTAAGACGGAGAAGAAGACAATCGAAAGTCGAGATAACGTAATTTTGGCGAAAAACTGGAGAAAATTCACTGAGAGTGAGGATGGTTTCGAGCAACGAAGGGGCGAAATTGTTGAGCGCAATTTACGCGACCCTCGAGAGACGTAATTCCGGCAAAGGGATACAAACTGGGGCCATTTTTAAGCGTACGTTGGCTGAACCTTATCTAAATTCCGCGACCACTTTATCAGCGAGGAACGATTACAGTTGTCAGTCTGTAGTAATCGCCAACTCGACGGATAAAGGCTTGGTTCGCTTTCAAAGCGTCTCGTTTTGCAAGCGTGCGAAGGAATTCGCGGATTAGTGGATATTTGCCTCTCTCTCTCGACAGAGAGATTTCGACAGAGGATAATATTTTATCGTATGGTAGAGAATTCACGAACATTTGTGGGCAATTTGAGCACGAAAATGCAGAGAAAAATATAATAAATAGAATTTGGAAGATTTTGTTAGCCCAAACGAAGTCAACGGTTAGACTAACGTTCCTTCAGTTACGCTCGCGACATTTTATTTATCCATAAAAGTACTGTGCAGCAAAATTTGAAATTTTCGACATGAATAATATTTTATCGAATATACTCAGGCGAGAACTTGGAATTAAGTTAAATCACAAAAAATCCCAATGAGAAAAAGAAACTCGGCCAAACACTGCTATTAGTCGAATTTCAAAATCACGCATTACAAAATCCATTTGATACGTGAAGCAACACGAAATGCAATCGCCAATGGTATTGCCGTTTCTCGCGGGGGAACAGGGGAAACGGGGGGATTAAATAACAGCGAGTTACAGGTCGAAACGGAGGTAAAATAGAAGAAAAAGAGAGAGAGAGAGTGAGAGAGGGGCAGAGGTTTCGCTTGAAAAGAGGAAACTGGAGGAGCTCGTTAAAGTGGTCGATGCGACACTTCGTTCCGCTCTTCAGCTCTTGTCGTCTGTCACGATGCACGGGGAGTCGTTGGTCGGTAAATTGGGAAGAGGCGACGACGAAAAAAAAAAAAAAAAAAAAAAAAAAAAAAAAAAAAAAAAAAGAAAAGAAAAAAGAAAGAGGAACGGCTCGATCTGCTCTGACGACGAGCGCACTCGTGGCATCTGATAAGGCACGGCTATTCAATTAGTGTCCCGTGTGAACCTGTCTGTCGATCGATAACGCCGTTATAAATACTCGCCCGAAGGATACACGAGGGAGGAAAGGAAATGAGAACGTAGATGCATGTCGAATCCGGACGAATTTCGAGATAGCCGAGCGTACGATGATTAGAAAAGGCATGTTTTAGAGTCTCTCGCGAATATGTGCGTACTGAAATATGGATGCAATAAGAGATGCATCATTCTCTTTCAATGTTTGGGGAGGATAAAAATATTTTTTGGCTTAGTTTGTAATGGCAATTGTTGAAATACTTAGTTTGTATGTATTCTATTTCATTTAATTTTAATTTCATTAAATTTTTAATTTAATACACGTATGCAATATAGTAATACAATATATTAATATATTAATTTAATTTTGTTTTACGTATATACTGTGAAACATAATAATACAATATACTAACGATGTCCTCATTGTATAAAGTACGCAGGTTTAGATTAGGTTTAGGTTTAGGTTTTGGTTGTACGTATCTAATATAATGATACAATATATTAATATGTTAGTTTAATTTTGTTTTACATATGTACTGTAAAACATAATAATACAATATATTAATATAATAACGATGTCCTCCTTGCATAAGGTACGTAGGTTTAGGTTAGATTTAGGTTGTACATATGCAATAATACAATATATTAATTTAATTTTTGTACCTATGTACTGTAATATAATACAACACAATAGATTAATATGTTAAAGGAGTCTTCAATATATAAAGTACGTAGGTTTAAGTTAAGTTTAGGTTAGGTTTAGGTTTAGGTTTTGGTTGTACATATGCAATACAATAATACAACATATATTAATATATTAATTTAATTTTTGTACTTATGTACTGTATAACAAACACAATAGATTAATATATTAAAGGAGTCTTCAATATACAAAGTACGTATGTTTAGGTTAGGTTTGAGTTAGGTTAAGGTTTAGGTTTAGGTTGTACGTAATAATATAACATATTAATATATTAATTTAATTTGATTGTACCTATATTCTAAAACATAATAACATAATATATCATTATACTAATGGAGTCTTCATTATATAAAGTACGTAGATTTAGGTTAGGTTTAGGTTTAGGTTTTTCTTGTACATATGCAATATAATAATACAATATATTAATATATTAGTTTAATTTTGTTATACATATGTACTGTAAAAACTATAAGACACAATATATTAATATACTAACGGAGTCTTCATTGTATAAAGTACGTAGATTTAGGTTAGGTTTAGGTTTAGGTTTTTCTTGTACATTGTAATAATACAATATATTAATATATTAATTTATTGCACGTATGTACCATAATATAATAATACAATATATATTAATTTAATTTTGTTATATATATATTTACTGTAAAAACTATAAGACACAATATATTAATATACTAACGGAGTCTTCATTGTATAAAGTACGTAGATTTAGGTTAGGTTTAGGTTTAGGTTTTTCTTGTACGTAGATTTAAGTTAGGTTTAGGTTTAGGTTTTTCTTGTACATTGTAATAATACAATATATTAATTTATTGCACATATGTACCATAATATAATAATACAATATATATTAACATATTAATTCAATTTTGTTATATATATGTACTGTAAAAAATATAAGACACAATATATTAATATACTAACGGAGTCTTCGTTGCACAAAGCATATACATTAGTATTAATTACATCTCATATCTGTATTTAATTATATTGCATCTATTGTATATATTTATACATTTATCTCGTAAAAATATTATATTTATCGTATATAATTCGTTTAATTTATACTCATAGCTGTGCCATTTTTATTACACAACTACAGTATTGTACTCGTCTCCTAAGGTCTCTTAGCAAAGGTTCGTACGTTGTTCGTCGACTTTCGTATTCAGTCGCGATCACTCTGGTCAATGTAACGGGCTCGAGGGCCGGGTTTCGTTTGCTCACCGTCGCGTAACGATGCCTTAACTTGCGTTATTGGATTTTATAATGGGCCGTCGTCGTCGTTACAGCTTGTTTACGCGACGTTACGTGACTCGCGCCCTTACCGGAGGCTTATTGCGTTTGCATTTAGACAAGAACGCCAGCCCGGGACGATAGCTTTCAGGCATTCGCCTGTCTCCTTTCAGTTAATCGCGTTCAACGATACCGTGAGCATCGCGTCGCGAAAATTTCGATCGGTTATCGGTTATCTTCTTAGTGAGAGGTGTTTTTCGCGCTGCTGGTGCAAGTTTTTCGTGTCGACGTCGACGTCGAAGACAGGATGGAGACACCATACAGGTGGAGAGTGGCGAAATTGACGTTGAAGGTCAGAAAAAATTTTCTTAAATCTTTTCTAGCGGCTTTTCCCGATTTCTTTCTTTTTCTTCTTTTTTTTTTTCTCGAGTAAATGTGCGATCTAGCATTTCCTTTTATTCACGTTTCAACGTGAGACATAGATTTTTTAAAAGATTTTTTTTTAAAATTGGCGGAAGTTCGAAAGTACGGTAGAAATTTACCGTACATTTTTCTTTATTGGAGATTAAGTGGAATAGTTTTAATGGAAAAATGACGCAAGTGTGTCCTTTGCTGAAATTAACGAGAGTAAGAGACAATATATCATCCCCTTTGTGCTATTACAGAAGCATTACACACTTTTATTCTTACATCAAGTACGAAAGAAAATCCTACATAGAATATTTATAATTATTATACATACCACGAATGTATAATTTGTGTAGTTTCTTTTCTACTTTGTTTAAAATTAAAATTTAATTTTAATTACGTAAATGTAATATATATATATATATATACGTAAATATATATTATTATATATAATATATATGCAAATATATATTACGTACATAATAAATATAATAAATATATATTACGTACATAATAAATATAATATATATGTATGTGTGTAAGTATAATATATATGTATGTATTATATTTATTATATGTGTGTTACGTACATATAATAAATATAACATGTATGTATGTGTGTATATAATAAATATAATATATGTGTGTGTGTGTGTATACGTATGGAAGAAAATTCTACACAAAATATTTATAATTATTGTACACGTAACAAAATAATTTGTGTATCATCTTTATTTTAATTCGTAAACGTATGATATATTATAAAAGCTGATAAAAGTTTCAGGATGTTTCATAAATTTCTTTATATAGATATTTAATCATTCTGTTGTATTTCGTTGGAAAATTTTACCGAGGTGTATATATTCCAATAGAAATTCTGGCCTTGACTTCTATCGTTAGTCATCGACAGTGGCTTATGTCGTGTCATCAAACAAACGCTCCGTGTTTCTTGGAAATTTATATTTCTTGGAATGCAAATGTTTCTTGGAATACAAATGTTTGTCGAGTCCTCTGAAACACCCTGAAAGTGGTGCTCACGAACAGTGCTCGAATATTTATCACGCAGAGACTGCTATGAATATTTGTTACGTAAAATTACTTTGATATTTCATTGACACTGACACAGTGATGTATATGTCTGTCGTGATCACGTTGCATTATACGAAGGATTAATCTGAGAATGTACACGTATAAAAATTACAAACTATTTCCCTGGAAGCTAATACCAAGCTAATTTCTATATTAATTTTCTAATTTCGTTAGACGAAAGTTAAATTAGTATTGAATATTCTCCAGAAATATATAATTAACGTGTATCTACAAAAAGTGTTCTATTTCAAGTGTTCGAATATTTCTGTGAGGATCTTCGAGATGAAATGAAAGTATAAGTATTTTTCATTGTTACTAGTAAATCACTTACAATTACTTACAAATATATAAAATAAATTAATAAATTACTTAGAATTTTTATTGTACTAGTTATAAATATAGTTATAAATATATTATATTTATATATAAAATATATAAAATATAAATATAGTTATAATATATTATATTTATATATAAAATATATAAAAAGTACTTGATATTAAATATATAACAATAAATATAATTTTACTATTAAATAACAATAATTTTTTAATTGTTACTAATAAATATTCTCTTTCGATTTTCTTCTTTACATAAGAATGAAGAGTCACCAACCAGCAAGTATCAAAAACCAATCTATCACATTAACTACTCTTCGATTCCTTGAAATTCCACAGAATTATTGGAATACGCGAATATTTTCGGCATTCTCTTTGCGACAAACTGAATGTCAAACATTCACATTTGGCGATCTGGGTTAGTGTTTTCCAAAAAGAAAAAAAAAAAAAGAAGAAAAAAAAGGAAAAAGAACGAAAAAACACACAGCAGCCAAATTTCACCGAAAAGTTGCATTCCACGCTATTTTCCAGTCATCTCGCCCAAGGTATCTCCCCGAAATTACATGTCTCATGTGCGTCCCTCGTCGATGGGAACCGTTATTGCGGCCTCCGAATATCGAGAGGATTTTGCAGAGAGAGGGGGGAGTGACAGGGTCGTGTTTAATCGCTGGAAAATCTACTTTGCCAGAAAATTACGATATTGAATTCGTTGGCACTTTAACAAGTGCCCGACGAAGACGGAGACGGCGACGGTGTACAGCTCGGTCGATCGATCGGCGTGAAACTCCTGTCCCGCCTTTTGTCCGTCGGCCGCGATACGTCTAAATCGCTTATCCGAACGTCTCTGCGTGCTCTCACCTGTTGAATACCGAAGAAAGTTGGCTGGCGCGTCGATACGCCGCCCACGCTCGCGAGTAACGAGAAAAGGGTCTCGCGGTTCGTCGCACGCGGATAATGGCTCGAAATCGGTCACGTGCCGGCCTTCTCCTCTCCTCTCCTCTCCTCTCCTCTCCTCTCCTCTCTTTCCATGGAACGTTTCGAGTTTCGTTCGCCACGAATCGATCCAACAATCACACGGTTAATTGAAAATGTTACGTGGCCACGAAGGAGGAGTTTACAACGGCGTCGTTCGTTTCCCGAGGGCTGTTTGAATTATTGATTTGTTCTCTCGCGTCACTTTCTCTTTATTAATTTTTCGTTCGCTGTTATACTTTGCAGTAATATAAATGTGAGGGTATAAAAATTTAGCTAGAGTTCAGAGGGTATTCCGTTAATCCGGTGAAAATCGACTTTTCGGGGATTTTTTCTTTTTTTTTTTAAGGAAACCATGATACATTTTGGTTAGCAGTTTCCGCGCACAGATTTATTCATACTTGGAGAGTGTTTAGAATGTTTTTAATTAACGAAAATTAATGGAAGTGGTGGGAATTATATGGCCATAGGTAAAGCATGTTTTTGAAAACTGGTTCGATGTGATTCTGGTCCATCTGGTTACTTTAATCTAAAAAATCACAATGCATCTTAATTAGTATAAATATGGCTATCGCGAAATTTCGAAAATTAACAAAATGGCATCATTCTGAAGTTTAAATATCAATTTTTCTTGTGCTTTTCGCCCTTTGGATGATAAAAGAAAAAAAAAAAAAAAATAGAAAGAAACATGAGATTTTGAAATCCGTGATTCATGCGATAAAGGTACATCCGGTGAAGATCTCCTCCAAATTTCAAGCTTAAACTTAAAACTTAAGTGAACCAATTTAATTTTATAATGATAAATATGTGTAACGTGAATTAATTTAATTTCAGACAAATATATGTAACATAAATTAATTTAATTTCAGATAAATATACGCAACATAAATTAATTTAATTTTAAATACACGTCTCTACGTACATACAAGATGATTAAACCACTTGTTAACGTTTTGCTCAAATTTATTGACACATTTACGACCAATTTCCGACTGTTTCACATTCAACAAAAACTCACCAAATTCTCCTTCTCGATTCTCCGCTATCTTCCAAACTCAACTTCCCAATCTCGCCCAGTCTTTCCGAAATTGCAAAAGAAACGACCGCCATTCAAACTCCAGCCATCGTTGCGCGAATCTCGCGGTGGAAAAACGCGGGGGAAGAGGATCAACGAAAAAGGAAAAAAAAAAAAAAAAAGTATACTCCACGCAGTTCGTTGTTAACGAACGTATAGCCATTCGCCATTCGACGGAGGCGAGTTACGCTCGCGATCCTCTCGACGCGTACGCGTTTTTTCCTCCGTTTAAGAGGGAAAAAGGAAACCGACGCGACACGATCTCCTTCTAGTCGTCATTTCGTCTTTTTTCATCGGAGCAAAAAGCTTTGAAAGGCACGAAAAGGGAGAAATGGCATTGAAGAAACGAGAGACAGAAGACGTACGTAACGTACGTGGCTACACACGCGTACACGTAAAAGCATCAAGCGTCGGCGGCGCGTAAAGTGACAGCGGCGAGTGGAGGAGAGGTTGGAAAAACCTTTTTTCTCGTCGGCCGCATGATCGAACGAAATCTGTCGAGGCTACGTGTGCCTACGCGTGTGCCTATGGTTACTCACCGGTGCGGTAGGGGCGTGTTTCAGGCGAATAATGCATTCATGCGATACTGAAAACGCAACGTTGATCCCACCATGTGTGTGCGTGTGTGTGTGTGTAGTAACGTTTCAACCTTGTCGAGACCTTTAATAACTTTTCTTCTTTCTTCTTCTTTCTTTTTTTTTTTTTTTTTTTTTTTTGGTCCCCTATCCATCTTCCTCTCGTGTTTTTTCCCTCTGTACGATACGCGCCGTCGTTTTCAACGTAACTACCGTTTCCTGGTTTACGCGGGATTTTCTCGCTCTCTCTCTCTCTCCCTCTCTCTCTCTTTTTTTGAGTTTTGAGATGAGTCGTCGCTCGCTGGAGGAAGATAGGGTTTAATGGTCGTAGAGAGAGAGTAGATGGCGGAGCAGGGAATGGATGGGACTTGGAGCGATTATATGGGGGTTGTTTGGGTATTTGTTCCCTATGCGGTTGACTTCCGGGGTTGGGGTAGCTAGGGGAGAAACTGCGGATTGTTTCGTTGTGCTTGTCTCTCAATTTCAGAGTGATTGGGGATTTATCTGTGATGATGCGTTATTCTTTTCCTTTCCCATACAGACGAATTCAATTATATTTAATTATTCAAATTGTTTTATATTTAATTTATAAATGTTATTAAATATTAATGTTATTAAATATTAAATATTAATGTTTCAGACAGTCTACTCGTAAATCATTTTACGTGAAGTGGTATTTTTGTTAGGGATTTTAAAAAGGAATAGAAAGAGTAGCTCTTTTATATTTAATTTATAAATGTTATTAAATGTTAATATTAATATTTAATTTAATGTATATAAATGTTATTAAATATTAATATTAATATTTAATTTATAAATGTTATTAAATATTGTAAATCATTTTGTGTGAAGTGATATTTTCGTTAGGGATTTTAAAAAGGAATAAAAAGTGTGG